TCGAAGTCATACATGCTTTCTTAAAGAAATGGGACAAATAAGTATATGTAGTGAAAGTGAAGAAAGTCACAAAAAGTCTTCAAGAAGGAAGAGAGCCTAAGACTTACAAGCGAAAGTCACATGAAGAGCAAAACGTAATTGATAGAAATAAGCTAAAATGTGAGCACACTAATAAGGGGTATACATTGGTCAACCAGGCAAAAGGAAGAAGAAGTCAAAACCTTTACCCTTTCAAACGCTTTGCGCGCCGAGATATTGATGGAGATTCGATTCATGCAAGAGATTGATTGGCCAAAGCTAATGGCCTAATGTGCTAGTAAAAGGGATAAAAGCATGTATTATCATTTTCACATAGATCATGGGCATGAAACAGAAAATTTGCATACATCCGAAAGAGAGATCGCATGCTTTCTGAGATGGGCATTTCTAGCTAAATGGTTTCTAGCTAAGTATATAAAAGATGATTGAGCGAAAGAGAAAGTCGATGAATGTTCCCCACCAAGGGTCAGAGTAATCAATGTGATTCTTGGAGGAATAACAATAGGTAGATATTAAAAATTCGCTGTAAAAAGCTATGCCCAATCTATTGGGATTTGTTCCATTTAGAAAAAGGAGAGGTTCAATTAAAACATCACTTTTGATAATGAAGACTTGATTGGTGTAGCAAGCTCCCACAACGATGTCCTAATGGTGTTGGTGACACTTAGATTTTGATGTCAATAGGGTGCTGGTTAATGATGGTAGTGGAACAAATGTTCTAACTTAGGAGGCCTTTTAAGGTTAAAAATTTCTCCTAAAAAGTTTTAACCCATAACCATTTCTCTTCAAGAATTTTGAAGTACAAAGATGATACAAAATGTACCGCAGAGCTTTCGGTGACATTAGGTACTTGCCTAGCAAGTGTGGTGTTCCTGACAAGCTTTCTAGTTGTCAAAACATCTATGGCATATAACGTAATCTATGGTCAATCTCTAAACCTTGCTGGCGATGTCCTTTCAACTAGTTGAGGAGTTGAATGTGTGAGAAATGATTAGCAAGCTTCAAAAAAGTGTTATATAGACATATTACAAGCTAAAAGCACTCTACTAGTCATGATGTTGGATTTTGACCCTCCATGGAGACAAACTGCCACTTGACATGACAAGAAATATTCTAGTATCAGAAAGACATAAATACAATTTAGGTCACTTAGATGTCGTTGCATGGAGTCCAAATGATAATCTAGGGATCAGCCCATCAATCGCTTAACATCGACTTGGCATTTTACTAGGTGCCAAGTAGCAAAGAAGAATAAAAGAAACTTTGCTCTTGAAAGACAAGTGGTAGTGAAGGTGAAAGTTGATAAATTGCTATAGTCACGCTTCATTCGAGAAGTATAGTATCTGAATGGCTAGCGAATGTTGTTCTTGTGAAGAAATCAAATGAAAAATGACGTTTGTGTATGGATTACAATAGGTTAAATAAAGTGTTTATGAAATATTCTCACCTATTGCTTAGAATAGACCATTTGGTAAATGTAACTTCTGGTCATGAGTGACTCAGCTTTCTAGATGCATTCTCTGGGTATCATCAAATTTCCAAGGCAAAATCTGATCAGGAGAAGAAACACTTCATTATTGACTTCGGGACATATTATTACATAGCCACGCTGTTAGATTCAAAGAATGTAGGGGCAACTTACCGGAGAATTGTAAATAAAGTCTTTAGAGGCCTAATTGGATATGTGATAAAGGCCTATGTCAATGACATGGTAGTTAAGAGTGCCAAAGAAATTGATTATATGACTAATTTGCAACATATGTTTGTTGTCGTCTGATAGCACAGGCTAAAATTCAACCCCAAAGTATTTTTGGTACAGTCAGTGGAAAGTTTTTGGGTTTAATGATCACACAAAGGGACATTGAGATAAATCTAGATAAAATTCAAGCTATTTTAGAGATGAAAAGCTCGACTAGTAATAAAGAGGTCCAAAGGCTAATATGGTGGGTGGCTACATTAAATTGTTCCATGAGTTGAGAAATTCACAAATCATTTCTTCAAAGCATTTGGAGGTTTTAACTATTTTGAATGGATCAAAGAATGTGAAGAGTCACTTGAATCCTTGAAGCAGTCGCTACAACTACAATCGATTTTGACTAGACCATGTCCAGAAGATATATTATGTTTATACTTGGCAGTTTCAATGTAGGCGGTCAGTGCGGTATTAGTAAAGAATTTTCAAAAGGACCAAAATTTAAAGAGTTTGAATATTCATCGTGCTTTAAATTTCCAACCACAAATTATGATGCCGAGTATGATGTTGTAATCACAGGCCTAATCTTGGCAGCCATATTAGAGGTGTCATCAGCCAAAATTTGTTGCGAATCTCAGTTAATAGTTGGGTAGGTAACTGGGAGTTCGAAGCGAAAGATAGTAAAACAGTAGCATATTTGATGAAAGTGAAAGACTTGCAGAGAAAGTTTTAAGCTTCAAGATAACTAAGGACCTTTGCAAAAAATAAATAAATAAATAAATAAAAATGGAAGAGCAAATGTCCTTTTTAAACTTGCATGTGTGTACACAAAGAGTTGCTCGGCACGAAAAATGTACAAGTCTTGCGACAGCCGAGTATTTTAAATGTGATTGACATTGCAAACGTAGAGCGTGAGAAAAGTTGAATGGACTGGTTGATAGATTATCTTATGAAAGATAAACCGTCGAAAGATGTTTTTGAGCAAAGCGACTGAGAGTTCGAGGAACTTTGTTCACCATTATTGATGGACAACTTTACACGCAATGCTTCACTATGCCATATTTGAAGCGTTTGTGTTCGACCGAGGTACATGAAGTGTTATTTGAGATGCATTCAAGAAATTATGATAATCATCAAGCAGCAGCTATCCTCACATTCATAGCTTTGCAACATTGGTATTATTTTCCTATAATGAAAAAGGATGCCAGGGAGTTGGTGAGAAAATTTGGTGTTCATCAACGTTGTGGAAATTTCATTCTTGTGTTGGTTGAGTAGGAAGCCACTAGTTCTAGCCTATTGTAATTATTAGCATTGTTTATTGTAAAGTGTCCAAAGTGGTAGATGATAAGGGCACTAAGGAAGGGCCAGCCTAGTTGGATTGTTGTCTTTAGATGACAGAATTTCTAAATAATCTACATTTACGAACAAAAAACCATAACTAATTTTCACCACTAAGACAAATGTATATAATTGTTAACAAATATAATTGGTATTTACGCATGAGTAATTATTTTTTCTGTTAACTTATTGTGCTCTTTATTCGCCGATTTATATTTTTCTCAATTCTTGTTGTATATTATTTAACACCAAACAAACAATATTATAAATGATTATCGCCATTAACACCAAACAATATTGTTTAACACTAAACAAACAATCTGTAGCTAAAGATGTTAGTTTATGGGCCACCACATCCTTTCACCAAGAGTGAAGCCAAAAGTCCAAATATCGACAAGTCCTACACCTAACTGTCGAGAAAAGCTCCTATAATATCTGAAATAATTAAAGCAGTTGACGCCAGTATGCATTTCATTCACCAAACTCCTTCGTACGGTTGAAAAATAGGCCATTTCTAGTGATATTGTCTCTGTACCCTCAGGAGAAGAATAGCCCCTCATCTGCTTTGTACATGGTGCCACCACTACTCTCTTGTTGTCCAGGATGATTACTTCTATACCAATCAGCTTACCTTCCTCCTCAATCCCCATATTTGTATTTTGTTTGATTTATTAGGTGAATGTGAAACCCAATCTCGTGAAGAAAGCCCAACAACCACTCTTCTGTTCCCAAGGAAAAAGAACTCGCATCACCACCATATAAAGATTAAGAAGAAAAGTTACCCATGCTGTCATCGCCGTTAGAGTTGCCTCCTTCCATTTCATCATCTCCATAATAACTGGGTTTAGGGTCGATCGCAAATGATGAGGATAATGTGGGATTCACCGTCGTGTCGTCACCGACATCGATGTTCAGATGTCGTCAATTGGGTTTACCTTTTGTTCCATTTCTCGATTGCATTGGGAGGATTTGGTAAAAAATTGTTTGTAAATTGTTAATGGCGAGGGAAAATGGGTAAGGCAAATAGATATTATCAAAAAGTG